GGATCTGAGCTGTGCCACATTGTTTGTGCCCATTGTAAAAGAGGACCAGCCTATTCTACGCTTGAGATCGTTCACATCCTGTTGACTTGGTGGGGGTGGGGGGTACAACGGGAGGGAGGGAGGGAGTTGGAAAGCAGGGACTAGAAGGGGAAGATGTAGAGATGGGCATTTTCACCAGAGTGCCGTTGAAGTCTGCTACACACACACACACACACACACACACACACACACACACACACACTTTGTCATCTCAAGATGGTCAGCTACCTTCCATTCTACCAGCCCAGAAACCTCCACAGATTAGACCCTGTCCTGTGGGCATGGACTTGCTGGATGACTTCCATCTCCTGAGGCTACTTTCTGAGTGACTTTCACACTTCACAGAGTCAGGCAGAGCCTCAGCAGGGGTCCTCGACTCCAAGGCCCTACTAGAGCTCAAAGACCTTGAGTGCAGACTGTTGAGCCTGGTGGGGCGCTGTGGTTAGCACAGTGGTTAGCACCACCAGTGCATGTGTTTCTTCTGCTAGCTAAGGGCCCCTCTTGATGGAGGTGGGGCTGAAGTGAGAGGGGTAGGGATTTGCATCCTCCCTGGGGCTGTGAAGTCCTGGGGCAGCTTCAGCTCTCTCACACAGCCTCCCCTCTGCCATGAGCCCTGTGGGTCTTTCCCTCCTTTCCCACCAGCCCTCTTAGAAGCAGGCTCCAACCACACACCCAAGGGGGCTGAAAACTGGGGACCAACCAAACCCACAAGAAGTTCCATTGCAGCCAAGGTGACAGAGTTGGGGTGAGGGTGGAAAGAAGAGTAGAAATGGCTCTCCAAATGCTCCTGGCCATGATGTGACGTGCTGCACAGAGCTCAATATAAGTATCCGTCCCACCACCTCTCAGCATGACCACCACAAGAGGGAAAAATCCACCGATGTTCATATGCCTTAAATCATTCTCCCAAAGAACCAGTGCCCGGGCCCTGACAAACCTGCTAGCCTTGTCTCTGTGCTCGTTCTCAGCCCTTCCTGACTTTGCTTCTGGGTTCATCCACAACAAAATTTCTCCCCTTTTATGTGCTTACCACTTTAGTTGTCACCCCCACACCTGAAGAAAATGGTCCCAAGTCTCTTTTGCAAAGAGGAATATTTTAAAACACAAAATCTTACTTAATTGTAATATTTTATAACTAACAAATGTCACATTGGCATAGAAGTTTTCCAAGTTGATCTGCATCACTATTCTCCATGGCTTCTTTGTCACCCTTACTAAATGGGAAGGTCAGTGTGCTGTGAAGGGACAAACCTTACTCCTAGGCTAGGGTATAGCTCAGTGCAAGAATGCTTCATGCCTAGCACTAGCATGAGAGAGGCCCCAGTGTCCAAGCCAGCTGGAAGAGAAAGAAAGAAAGAAAGAAAGAAAGAAAGAAAGAAAGAAAGAAAGAAAGAAATAGATACAAAGAAATCATACTTTTGAAACATATCCCAGGGCAGTCAGGAAGACCATAAAGTTGGTCCATGGTCTTCACTGTAAGGTACACCCCACCCCACTGAAAGATATGCTGGTCTCCGGTAAGGCTTGGGAAACTGTGACAGTTCCAACTTGTAAAAGAGCTTGGCATCTTCAAGGATGCAGGAGCCTTGAATTAAGACTTCTGCACTCAAGAAGGAAAAAAAAAAAAGAGTGGTGAGTTGTGGGTTTGTTTTTTTTAACCTAAAAATCAGCATCAAGAGCCTCAGCAGAAGATGAACAAATATATACTGTCATGTCTCAAAGGATAAAGATGCTATTTTATACAGAGGGCTGTCCAAGAAACCTCAACAGACAGTGTTCTGGGCAACATGACTGGGGAATCTACATTCTTTATCTGAAACCAAAGGCTGAACCCAGGCAGCCCTAGGACTGTTGCCTAAGAAGGCAGGACTGACTGGCCATGGGAATGATCAGTGAGTGCGGGGATGGAGACCACTGGCTCTAAGGATAATGGACTTGGAAGTGCCTAGAATATGAGTGTGGGCTTTGGCCTTGGGTGAGCTCAGAACATAAGACTGCATCTGTCTTACCCAAGCTGTAACCTCCATAACCCAAGCCATCAATACGCTAAACAGGTTTTTGCACTTTTTGGAGAAGTTGGATGTGCTGTTCCCTCTAAACATTCCAACTGTGAACTGTCTTAACCATTGATATCATGTGAACTGTTATCTGAAATTGGAACATTAATGTTTCGATTAAAAATGTAAAGTCATAATGATATCTACCTTCCAGAGTGTTGTGAGGTTTGCTGTAATATTGTCTATAAAGTAAAGTTGCTTTGGGGGAGGAGTGTTATACCATCTAGTTATAAATTTTCTGCTGTAAATCCTGTGTCTGGTTAGAAGGACATAAAAAAAAAAAGTCCAAGATCACACTAGAGCCAGTGCCACTGTGGAAGGAGGCTACTGATGTCTAACTGTTTATCATTGTGTTGCACAAGGCTAGTGAATATGCTGGACTTGGAGCCCATGTGAGTGAGCCACATAGAACACTTCATGGTCTTTCACCAGGACAGTAGCATAGCTTTGCTCCCTCCCTGTCTGTGAGACCACAGCCATTAGCCTTCCTAGTCTTAGAGTTTTCCCATAGGGTTCTTATCCTCCATCACCCCAGTGAGCCATTCCTGAAAGCCCAGAGAGTAGCCCTACTGGACTCACCACCTTGTCTCAAACACAGCTTTGTTTCTCTGCTTCCCCCAAAAGACATACATTTTAACCTGTTAGGGAAATGGAGCAGCCTTTAAAAATGACTGATGTGGCTGCCGATGACTCATCGATATGAGGACTTTTCCAGGCTAGCAGGCAAGGCTCTTCCTGGTGGGCCTGCCTCTGTGGATTCACGGAAACCAAATTACTGTGGGTTGCAAAGAATTAGCAGGTCATTTTAGAAGCAGACATGCCTTCACCCAGACTGTGGTTTTGTATGCTCAGGTTCTCAGTCTGTGAGCACTGGGGAAGGATCGTTTTGGCTACTGGAAAAAACCATAGCTTATTTTTAATTTCTGGTTGTCAAAGCCACCACACGTGTGGTCTGTGGATGACCCTTTGTCTGCAGAGTGATGAGGGAGGAACAAAAGGTGGTTTGGGGCTCAGGGAACCCTCACCTACAAGTTACCACAAGGCCTATGCTATTGGCCTTTCCCCTCTGCCTGTGTTTCTCAGAAACATGCCCTGCCAGAGGCGTTTGTCTTCCCTCCTCTGGAGTTTTAGCTGAATCCCACCATTGGGAGCTCTGTACATAACTCCCCACCCCAAGTTTGTCCAAAGTTCACTTTGAAGTGAAGCCGTGCTAACCTTGCCAAAACATGAGGGATGCATCTCCTGTATGAAACAGCTTGCTGATATTGTCAAATTTTCTTTACTGTGTTTGATTTTTACACTGATAAAAAAATAAATAAATAAAATCCTGGTGTGTTTAAAATTAGTCCCATTGCATGCTTATCATTTGTCATGGTTGCTGTCAGAAAACGGAGAGATTTCATTCTGCCTGGGGAACATTTCCATAATTTTGTCTTGGTTTTTTTTTTTTTTTTTTTTTTCTTTAAAGCCAAAGTATCAAAATCAGTGGAATTACCACCGGTGTCCCCGGGAGTCAGTAAATTTTCTCCCCAGACACATTGCCGAGCCTGCCTACTACACCTATGGCCCCTGAGGACATAGTAGAGCTCTGGATGCACTCCTCCCAAAGCTCACTAGGGATTCCAGAAGACAGGGATCTGGACACAGCAGGAGCAGTGACCTCAGAAGAGTCCCCTTACTCCATACCACTTCACCATCCTCCCCTCCAGCAGAGGGAGGGTCAGGAGACAGGCAGGTAAGTGAGCCTTGGCTGTTTTCAGCTATGGATCTCTGAAGCATGAAAAGCAGTTTATGAAACTCAGACAAGTTACATACAGTCTTTGGATACGTGGGGACTCAAACCTAAGGTGACGTGGGGTGACACAGCCTTGTCTTGTTTACCTGGTATTTATGCCAAGACAATGAAGAATATGAGAAGTCTGGCCTTCTGCCAGCTTCATGTAAACTCACTCAAAGGCATGGATCACATATGGATCGTGTATGGCCAGGGATAACCATGAATGCCGCCCAACACATAAGTCATAAACGTAAACATTGAGATTCTGTTTAACTCGCTTGTGCAGCTCTTAAATGTGAACTTTGTAGATGATAACATCATGTCACAATGTCAAAAGGTTGGATACACATGTCTCCCTTGCCCTGTCTTGAGGCTTCTGCAGTTTGGATTTAACAAGCTCAGTCCTTGAGTGGGCTGGTGGTGGGGTGGCCCCCCTCCCCCAACAACTCCATTGCAGCTGCATCTTTTGCTTTGAGGACTTCCAGCAAATCCTCCCAGGGCAGGAGATGGGAATGGTAGGCCAGCCTGCCCTTGTATTTTAGCATAAATCACTCTAAAGCAGCCTTCCCTTGGCTAACCAGCAGGCGTGTATGTGGCTTTCCCAAGCCCACTCCCTCCCAAGGAAAAGGAGCTGGGGGCGGGGAGAGACAGGGAGGCCTTGAATACTTATTTTTGGGGGGTGCATTTCCCTCCAGCCTAAGGACACTTTACATCCCTAGCTCTAGTGACCAGTGTAGCTTTAGAGGCGTGGTGGCTCAGTAAGAGAGGCCACCTCACACCTGCAGCCTCCCCCACCCCATCACTCCACACCCCAGGCCACCTGCAAGGCTGGAGGATGCAAACCTCCACCTGCAGGCAACTGCCTCCTGAGGGTAGAGAGGCAAAGGACCAAGTTCCCTTCCTTGGGACCCCATCCTCAAAAACCCCTGGGGGCATTAGACACCAGAGCTCCAGACTACCAGGAATGGCTTGAGGGGGATAGTGAAGTGGGAT